AAAAATACATACTATAAAACTATTACATTAAACTAACTTTATGATTTTTTTTACTAAAAAACAAGAATTATTAAAAAAAAAAAGTTAGATAACTTAAGAGACCAGTTATTAATATAACAGGCCTCTTTAATGAAATATGAAAGCAATGCAAAAAAATATTCTAGGCTGACAAAAAGAGACCAGATAACAGGTCTCTAATGACGTGGTGGCAATAGTAGCAACAAAGAGACCACCTATCTGATATTTTAATAGGCGGTCTCTTTAATAGGCGGTCTCTTAGTGTTTTTTTTTTTTTTTTTTTTTTGGGCTGGTGAGTCACGTGACTCACTGTGCATCTTAATAGATCCGCCCCTGCCAGCAACCCCCACCCAACTAACCCTGAAATCGTGTCCTAGAATTCCCACCCCAAAAACCCGACCACCCACCTCAACGACCCACCTAACCTCCACCACGTACTCCTAACCATACTCTAGGTCATAAAATCGGTAAATCTTACCTGACCCACGTGAAACCCTAACCCCTCTCACTTGGAATCTTTTTGGCAATTCACGCTCTTTAATTAATTGTCTAATTACTTTGTAATAATTTAAATTATTTTATCTTTCTCCTTCCATAATTGTCTAATTACTTCATAATAATTTAAATTATTTTTATCTTTCTCATTTCATTCCACATATATCTGCTAGCTAGTAGTCACAATGTGCAAAATCATCCATCATTTCTCCAAAAGCTTGATGTAGTAGAGTATGAGATATGTCGAGAATAGAGAAAAGTAACGGTTTAATTTAATTGTAAAAGCTGTATTTTTTTCTCTAATTTTGTGGTTTAGAGGTCTATATTATTTTTTTAGAGCCTAATAGGGTTTTGTGTTGGATCCTAGCTAGACCCATGCCCATCTTTAATACTCATATGGATAACTTTTTTACACTGAAATTAATTAATTATTATTTTTTAAAAATCGAGTAACACCTATAAATTAAAGAAAAATTTGTAATTATTAATCCCAACTTTGGGCCATTTACTTTCATTAATCCTAACTTTCCATTATTATTGAATAATCCCAACTTTGGGGGACATTTTCTTTTATCAAGCCAAATGACCGGTAACTTGATGAAGGGGTGATTTTTGTTTTTTTAATTTTTATTAAATGCCACATGTCTTATTATTATTTGTTTAAAAATTATAGGAAAGAAAACAAAATCAGAAAAAAAAAAACACACACAGCCACCAGTACGAAGCATCTGCCCCCACCGGCCGACCACCATGTCGTTGCCCAAGCACTCCTCTGCCCTCCTCCGGTGCCCAAGTGCATCTCCACCCTTCAATTCACCATTTTAGGGGTCGAGATTCATGCAGCTGGTGGTTTTGGGGGTTGAGGTTCGCGGGGGACGGTGGTTTCAAGGGTCGCGGTTGCGCGGATGGTGATTTTGGGGGTCAGGATTCGCGCGGCTGTTGGTTTTGGGGGTCGAGGTTCGCGCAAGATGGTGGTTTTAGGGGTCGCGGTTGCTGGGTTGGTGATTTTGGGGGTCGCGATTTGCACTACTGGTGGTAATGGGGGGTCGAGGTTGGCGCGGGATGGTGGTTCTAGGGGTCACGGTTGGTGGGCTGGTGATTTGGGGGATCGGGATTTGCACTGATGGTGGTAATGGGGGCCGAGGTTCGCGTGGACCGGTTGTTTTAGGGGTCGTGCACTACAAGAAAATAACCTTTTTGTAGCGATTATTTTAACCTATAGTATCGATTGTAATTGCAACAAAAAACTTTCCCAGCGAATGGTCATTCGATACAATATCCCCTGTTGCCTTAGCCTATAGTAGTGGTTTTCAATATCGTTGGGGTTGGCCTCAATAATCGATACGAAAAACTACATCCAATAGTGGTGATTATTGTAGCGATTACAATCGCTATAATGTTTAACTCATTTTATATATCTAGTGTTGAAAAGGCTTTTCGTATCGATTTTTAGGATTTAGTGGCGATTGTATATGATACGATTTCTCAAAATTATATAATTGTGTAAAAATAGTGTGGAAATATATTATTATGTTTTCCGTACCGATTTTATATAGGAAAACCATGGTGATTGTAAAAATGATACGATATCCTTATTTATTTCACAAACATACTTGCATATTGTAGCGAATGTACAATCGCTACGGAATAATCGCTACAAAAAGAGATTTTTCTTGTAGTGGTGGTGGTGCAGCTGGTGGTTTTAGGGGTCAGGGTTCCCGACCAATTGGTTTTGGTGGCCAAAAGGCGGTGGCCAACGAGGTTGGGGGTGGGGGTTTAGGTTTCACGGTGGTAGAGGGATGGTTGGGATGTTAGGGTGGGGGTTAGGGTACGGTGGTCCGGTGAACGGATGGGGAGAGGTTGGAGTTTTTTTTTTTCTTCAATTTTTGTAAATTTTTTTTGACCAATCAGGGCTTGCCACGTGTCAAGTTACCTGTTATAATAGGTTATTGACTTTTATTAACCGGTCATGACCTAATAGTAGAGAATGTCCCCCAAAGTTGGGATTATTCAATAATAATGGAAAGTTGGAATTGATGAAAGTAAATGGCCCAAAGTTGAGATTAATAATTACAAATTTTCCTAAATTAAAAGCCTTGATCTACAAATATACACCAAAACACAAAGTATTATATGTGGCTAGCCACATGGTGTAACCATTTCACATAGTCACATACAAGACAATTAATCAAGTAATAAGGGGTTACGGACTTACGGTGATGAACAAATGGTTACCTTAAAGCTTATGGAAGTTACTTAAATGAGAAATAGGGGTTACTCTCTTAAATAAGTGGAATTATTATTTCATTTTTAAAAACAAAAGAATAAGGGTTACTCGAATTAACAAATGGAGACATGGAGTTACATACTTATTTCTAAATTACTTGAATTCACTCGTATAATAAATTTGGGTTACTTTTATGGACAATATGAGGTTACTCTTATGAAAAATTGGGGTTACTCATACATAAAAATGAAGATTACTCTTATGAACTAATGTGGCAACACCGTGTACCTAGCCACATACAAGACTTATTCACATCAAAATGGATAAATAAAGACTATTATGACAGAAATGAGTTGTTTGTTTTCTTGAAATTGGAATGTAATACATTGCAATATTTGTGAAACTTATACAAAGGTAACAACAATGGCAATAATAAAAAGATGTTTTCTATGATGTAAAAAAAAAAAAATAATAAAAAGATGTAGCATGTACTTCTTTCATGTTTTTACTTACAACAATTTTATTATGTACACTATTCTTACACCGTATGTTATTTCATCTACATTTCGTGATTTTACATAAAGAAAAATATAATCATATGAGATCGTGGTATATCTAGCTCAATGTGTAATTTATTAAAATTTAACTTTTAAATTTATTTATTTACAAATGCATAATTAAAGATGTTCAATGTATGTATCAAAGTTTACACATCATCAATCGTGTAACATAGAAATGTTGTAAGTGAATAAAAAGAAAAGTATTTGAGTATATATGATCTAATAATTTGGTATAACACTCTCCAATAAAACATAATGAAGATTATTACCATTAACCTTGAAATAAAAAAGAAAAGAGAGACTTAGGGCCTGTTCTCATTGACTGAACTCAGCTGAATTAAACTAAACTAAACTGAAATGAACTAAGCTGAACTGAGTTGAACTGAATATTTTATAAGAGAAGGAAATTAGGAGCTGAACTGAACTGAATATTTTATAAGAGAAGGAAATTAGGAGCTGAACTGAACTGAACTGGATATTTTATAAGAGAAGGAAATTAGGAGCTGAACTGAACTGAACTGAGCTGAACTGAACTGAACTGAACTGAGCTGAGCTGAGCTGAGCTGAGCAGAACTGAACTGAACTGAATTTCAACGTAAGAGAACAGACCCTTACTTAGGTGCTTTGGCGCCTCCGCGTCGAAAGTTGGGGAGTACAAAGCCTTTCTTATACTACGCATAGTGGTTGATACCTTAACCTAGTAGAGATCTTTTAGGTAGGAGTTATGTTTGCATCAAAGTGAATCTTTGCGGGTTAGGGCCAAAAAGAATAATACTTCCTCTAATTTATTAGTTGATACCGTTTGACTTTTAAAATATATATTCATAAATTATACTTTGACTACCTTTTGTGATTAATGGCTACGGTAAATTAAAACATAGTTAAGTAGGATCTTGTTTGAATCATCTCAATATATATTTTATTAATTTTCACTTTTTATAATTTTTCAATGTCGAGAATTAGAGATATTAATCGTCAAAATTAGTGCGTTAACAAGCGTGGTAAAAAAGATGTCAACTAAATTAAAACGAAGGTTTTGTTTATTAATGGACTCATGTTGACCCGGGGTGTTATAAATATTATCAAAGTTGAGATCCATTTCGATGTTAAGAGAACGAAGTTTGGGAGTTGATACCTTAACTTAGTAGAGGTCTTTTAGATAGAAATTATGTCTTGCACCAAAGAATTATTGCCTAAAAACGATCTAGGTTCTCTTTCTAATGCATTAAAACGGTGTATTAGCTAATTTTCATTATAACATTTACAATAAAAATTACAATTCGACATCGTTTGACTCTCACACTAAGGGTCTGTTCTCATTAACCGAACTCGGCTGAAATGAATTGAACTGAACTGAACTGAAATGAACTTTTTTATAAGAGAAGGAAATTAGAAGCTGAATTGAACTGAAAATAAACTTATGAGAACATACCCTAAGGCCATCAGTTTAGAAAATACATAATTTTGATTCAGTAAAAATCAGTAATTTTAAGTAAGAATTACATGGAGTAATAGAGAATCAGTAAAAATAATTTCACTTCAATAAAATAAATTTCAATTCAGCAAAAATAAGATGAAGTTTATGGAGCCTGATTAATTTGATTTAAAAAACATTAATGGGGCAAGTGTTGAACGCGGAATACACCATATAGCGAAATGCTAGATTCCCTTACTCCGGAGAAAAGTCCTCAATAACATGTGATACCATCAATTCACATTTTTCTTCTCCCCCATAAATTACCCCTCAAACCCCCTTCTTCTCACCAATTCTATCTCCAACCTCACTTTCTCTCTCTTCACTTCTTTCTCTCTCTCTCTAACCAGATCTCCGCTTCTCTTTCTCTCTCCTCTTCCGCCATGGCAGGACCTTCAGTTCCTGCTACCTTTCTTCTGAAAGATGAGCTTGATATCGTCATCCCCACCATCAGAAACCTTGATTTTCTCGAAATGTGGAGGCCATTTTTCCAACCTTACCATCTGATTATTGTTCAAGATGGAGATCCTTCTAAGACCATTAAGGTCCCTGAAGGATTTGATTATGAGCTTTACAATAGGAACGATATTAATCGTATTCTGGGTCCTAAGGCCTCTTGTATCTCTTTCAAGGATTCTGCTTGTAGATGTTTTGGGTACATGGTTTCTAAGAAGAAGTACATCTACACCATTGATGATGATTGCTTTGTAAGTTTTTGATTTTTGGAATTGATTTGTTGTTTTGTCTGATCTGGGTTTTGTGCGATTTTTAGGTTTCGATTTGATATTTATTGTCAATTTTTGTGGTGTAATGCTGAATTAATTGAGGGGTATTTTAATTAACTGATTTTCTCATCTGAATTTTGTGGAAATACAGGTTTTGATTCGATGATTTTCTCGAATTTTGAGCTTGAGTCAATTGAATTGGGGTTTAGTGGGGGTTTTTGATTTAATGAATTTCTGATCTGGGTATCGATTCAATTTTTTTTTTCAGATTTGGGTTCTGATGTTGATTGTTGAATCAATTCAAGGGTTTTGGTGGGTTTTTGATTCAATGATTTGGGTGTATGAAAAATTTTGAATTTTGATGGGGAAATGTTTGATGGGTACGATTTGATTTTGTTGGCTTATTGTTGATTTGATCTTTAATTTGAATAAACTTTTTGTGGTTGTTGAATTTGAAAATTTGAATTTTTTTGGACTTGATCTGATTCTAGGTCGGTGGATTCCCCTTTTGTGCTTCTTTTTAGCATATGATTGCTTTTTCACACTTTCATTTCAAGTTTTATGTCCTTGACTATGTAAATTATGCTAATCTATTGACATTGTTTGTTATGATACTATAGAAAATATAATATGTTAGATCTTATATGTGGTCCATTCAATTCTATTGTTTCAGACCTTTTAAAGGCTCTAATGAGTAATGACATTGACTTTAGGATGTTTATTATTTGTATCTGATCATGACTTATGGGCTAACATTGTTTGTTTGTTTGATTATCATGATTATCATGTTACATACATTGTAATTTCTTCAGCATTTTTAATATTCGGGTTTCGTATGATTGATCTATTACCCTAGGTCATATTCATTACCAATTGTTAATAGCTCTCTCTAGCTTAGTGGTTCTTCCCAACTTGTGTATTGCTGAATTGGCTCTGAGTGAGTTCGATGTTGCTTGCCATTGATTGAACTCTATAAGGCTGATTGTTTCTAGCTGGTTAATGTGTGATCTATGTTTCTTAGATCTTAACTGTCCTTGTTTCGAAGTTTAAGCTACAATTTGCACTTTTGATGGTCATTTTTGGATTTGAATTGGGTTTGGATCTAATGTTGATAATTTTTCGAACAATGTAGGTTGCCAAGGATCCATCTGGGAAAGACATTAATGCACTGGAGCAACACATCACTAACCTTCTTTGTCCATCAACCCCACTTTTCTTCAACACCCTTTATGATCCATACAGGGATGGTGCTGATTTCGTCCGTGGATATCCCTTCAGCATGCGTGAAGGTGCTAAGACCGCTGTTTCTCACGGTCTTTGGTTGAATGTCCCTGATTATGATGCTCCCACCCAGCTTGTGAAGCCCCTTGAGAGGAACACCCGGTATGATTAATTACCGCTCTTGGAACTTGGAATGGTTCTGTTTTTAACTCCACATTGTTACTCTTTCTAATTTTCTCTTTGCTTTCTAGGTTTGTTGATGCTGTTATGACCATCCCCAAGGGCACCCTCTTCCCTATGTGTGGCATGAACTTGGCTTTTGACCGTGAGCTCATCGGACCTGCTATGTACTTTGGACTCATGGGTGACGGCCAGCCTATTGGCCGTTACGACGACATGTGGGCTGGATGGTGTGTTAAGGTTTGCTACTTGTTCCTGTCTTAATAAGCAATTTGAGTTCTTATTGTTGTCATTTCAAGTATCCAGGCACCCAGCTTTGGAATTCAAGTGTCATAAATTGTCGGTAGCTCTTCATTAAGCTGATATAAACTTAAAACTCATCAGTATCAAAACTTGAAACACGACCTGATTTCAGCTTATAGAGTTGCTCCAAAATATAGCAACTAATTAGCAAGCTAGGCCTTGTCTCTGTGATGTAAACAATTCATATGTGATAGAAGCACTAATACATCATATGGTAGCACATACTGTCAACTTTAAAATACTAATGATGCTTTTTGGTCGATTATACAGGTTATCTGTGATCACCTAGGACTTGGAGTGAAGACCGGGCTTCCTTACATCTACCACAGCAAAGCTAGTAATCCATTTGTGAACCTGAAGAAGGAATACAAGGGTATCTTCTGGCAAGAAGAGTGCATCCCGTTCTTCCAGAGCGCAACCCTCCCAAAGGACTGTACTACTGTCCAAAGCTGTTACCTTGAGCTCTCCAAGCAAGTCAAGGAAAAGCTTGGAAAGGTTGATGAGTACTTTGTCAAGCTGGCTGATGCCATGGTCACATGGATCGAGGCTTGGGATGAGTTGAATGGTGCTCCAGCTGCTATTGCCAATGGCAGCGCCTAATAAGAGCAGTTTATAGAGTGGTTCAAGGCCTTGTATTGCCATTCGTTATCTCTTATTAATTCAAGCTTTGAATCATTGAGGTTTGCTTGGAGGCTTAGGGATTTTTCGTTTCAGGCAGAGATATAGGATTTAATTATTTTCATAATTTATTTTTCAAAAAACAGGGGAGTTCTGTAGCCAGAACCTCCTCTACCTATCCTATTTATGTATCCAGTAGATTGAGCATTTGTTATTTGTTTTTTTGGGATTCATATGTTAAGAGTACTATTATTCGTTGCTGATTTCTCCTTTAGAAAATTATTTGTTGCTTGTTTCTCTAGTACCTCATTTTTTTTGAAGACGAACATGGGGAATCTATATTTAGTATTTAAAAAACCAAACCAAAAAAAACATATGTCATCATTCTATTACACTTCTCTATCATCTTCTTCAACTCAATGTGCCACATGTCATTTTATATTTTATATTTTTAATTATACCATAATTATACCATTCTTCTTTAACTCTTTCATTAAACACTTTATCTTCATCTCCCCTCTTTAATTCAACCTTTTTATTTTTTTTCTTTGATTTTAGTCCCTCCATCTTCTTTCTATTAAGTCTTATTTTAAATTAAAGTTCCAAAATTTTATTTCTTTAATTATGTTTTCAGTTACATGTTACATTCATAATTATTTATTGGTATTTCCTCACTCATCTCTCAATGCAATTTTCTATGAACAAGCCGTGCATTGCACGGGTCGGAAGGCTAGTTAGTTTATCAAATCAAGATCCGCCAAAGATTGGGGGATAGAATCCATACAAATATATTCATTGTTAGCACCTGTATCCCACCTTTAGCAACAATATTCCTTGCTCGTCAAACATGTGCACAACTAAAATTAATGAAATCATTACACAGACTATCAATATCCTCAAAGAAATGGAAGATTGGAGCCGCTCCCTGATGCTTGTCTCTAATGGCACGCACGCAAGCTGAACTCCAAAGTGTGCAGCAGCAGCTTCTGCAGTCTTGGACGCCCACCTGCAGGAAGTTCTCTTCGTTGCCACAAGCAGCAACTTGCCCCATTCATCATGAACAACCACTCCCAAGCAAGTCTAGGCACAGAGGCATCAACATTTACCTTGACAAGGTGGCGATGTGGCGGTACCCAACTAGCTTTAGAGAACATAACAGAAGCTAGACCATCACATAATCTGACGAAACTTGCACCCACCATCACACCATTGATCTCATTTGCTTCGTCAAAAATCTCCTTATTTCTACACCACCATCTTGCCCACGCCAGACATAGAAAATGTCGTAGCTTTGCTTTGTCAAGTTAACTCGAAACCCAGCAAAATAAATCTTGAAAGGAGGACATCGGAGCATCATTTAACAAGTCAAGGAAATTTCTGTGCTGGCAAATACTCAAGGCGTGTTTACAGTTGAAAAGAGCATGAATTATGGACTCACTTGCAGGCTTGCAGCACCACAAATCGAACACATGCTTGAGGGCCTTATATGACGGAATTACAACCTTTCCATCACACCAAGAGACCCTTTACAGGTCCTCCAAACAAAATGGTTTAACTTTGGAGGACCTTTTATATCCCAGACCATTTTCCATAGCTCTCGCTCAATGTCACCATAAAGCAATTCCCACGATCATACCTTACCCAGTCTTCCTAGCCAATAAGCATATTTTACAGAGAATAAACTCGACTTAGTAGACCACCAGAACCTCTTATCTTCCACCCACACACTCGGCAGAGGGATATCAAGAACAGCAAGTCCATCTCTTTCCTCGAATGTAGCTGCCACCATTTCAGAGTTCCAGCATCTGTTTTCAAAATCAATAAGCTTGCTTACCCGCAAATCAGTATCACAGTTCAATTTGTTTGGGGGGGGGGGGGGGGCGATTGGGGGGTAGGGCCGGGTAGAAAGAGTACCATCACCAACAAGCCAAGCATCCTCCCAAACCTTAATAGAAGAGTCGTTTCCCACTCTCCACTTTAACCCCTCAAGGAGCAAGGATTTTGCCCCCCAAATACTCTTCTACGTGTAACTAGGATTAAAGGTTCTTGATGCACCACAAAAATCAGAATATTTAAAATACTTGGCCTTGAGGATTTTTTGCAGCAATGTATTATTATCAGCACATAACCGCCACCCTTGTTTCGCAAGAAGAGAAAGGTTAAAATATTTAAGGTCCCTAAATCCCATACCACCTAACAATTTTGGGAGACAAAGATCCTTCCATCCGTATATGCCAATGAATCCTCTTATTCGTACCATCTGAGCCCCACCAAAACCAAGCTAAAATTGAATGAATTTCATCAATGAGACAATCTGGATACTCAACATGTAAGTTGGAATTGCTTGTGCCACCACCGTGATTAATATCTATTTGTCTGGGCGAGATAACAATTTCTCCTTCCATCCTTGGAGTTTCTTCCAAATGTGCTCCTTAAGACAAGTGAAAACTGCTTTCTTTGATCTTCCAATAAGAGTCTGCAACTCCAAATACTTCTCATGTCTATCCACTCCCCTAACACTGAGAGTCTCAGTAATCAACTTCCTTCCCTCCGCATTCACACACTGGCTAAAAGCTATTTCAGTTTTGCTTAAATTGACTTTTTGTCCGTAACCTCTTTAGTAGCTACTAATTATTTCAATAGTTTTAGAGCATTCTTGCAAATTAGCCTTCACAAATAAAATACTATCATCTGTAAAGAAAAGATGAGAACCCTTGATGCATCCCTACAATCCTTAACCCCATGAATCAAATTATCTGACGCCGCCTTTGATATCATTGTAGAGAAAGCCTCTACACGTATCAAAAAAAAGTATGGCGACATTATGTCACCTTGTTAAGTCCATATTGTTTTGTTTACAAATTTGCCTCTAACCCGATAGTTTTAAATCATCAACGAGGAAATAGGTCCAAAAGAGTGGTGTAAACTGTATGTAGTACCGTAGTATATGTCATCGGCGAATATGTATTTAAGACGACTTGATATGAATGACTAAAGTTTGTTGAAAAAATGTTACAAAAACTTAGAATCTTTACAATGTGAAATTTAGAAGGAATTAGGGTTGGATTTTATATTCCATTCTTTGTCATAAAGATTTGACATTTTATAATTTTCCATTTCAGCTCAATTCTTGTGTAAATGCTAATTCACCCTTGATATGCTACTGCCAGATCACCAATTTTCTTATACAGGTCACACTTTTTGAATGTTTATAGATCATCGCCATATTAACCTACTTAAGAATAAGAGAAAAAAGTGTTGAGTAAAACCTTGTTAAATGTTAAATCATCTCAAGAATTATGAAATCTTCTAAGATGTTAATTTTACCAATTCACCATTAAGAAAATAATGATACAGCTATTTTGAAACAAACTATGCATTGCAATTTGCAACACATGAAAAAAAAATTTACATAAATTAAGTTTTTTCTTCGAACAAAATACAATTATCTTGAAACAAACTTTCTTATTATTATTCAAATTCGCCAAAATTGTTAAGATTTGGAGAAACAAGTTCATACTAACGAGTTTCTCATCTTGCCAATAAAATAAGATAAAAAATTAAAAAACAAAAAACATCAAAATCATGGACACAAGATTTAAGCGATCAAAAGTACATTGCAAAGCAAAATAATTTAAAGTAATCATATATAAACAAAAAATTAATTAAGGGCACCATAAGACCAATTGATCCGTACCCCGCTTGCTCGTAGTTCCTCTAATCCTCTCCACCTCTATTTTAAATTTGATTTTTCTTGAGAATATGTAGGAAATTATTAAACTAAACTTGTTTAAAAAAGCTTAAACGGATTCCCAACAAACACTTGATTATATAACCTAGTAACCAACCAATGTTGACGTAAGTCCGCCTTGTAAAAGACTTATTGTATAACTTTACTTGACAAGAAACCAAATACAACTACTTCCTCCGTTTCATATTATTTGCAACGATTTGACATAAAGTAGAGAGGAAAAATGTCTAATCGTTGCAAATAATATAAAACAGAGGTGGTATATAATTAGGATTTCTTTGTTATTAAGTGGATGCATTGAAACTAAAAACAAGGGATATCTTGAGCCGCAAATAGGCAAACATGCTTCTTTGTTTGACTTACCACAAGTGTTAATTGCAAATCTGCACGATCAGCTCGGTTGATGTTTACTTCTTGGGCAGTTGGATGAAATCTTGCAATAATTATGGTTTTGTACGAATCCGATATTCTTTGCAACATTCGTCAAAGATGTAAACTCTTGAGGATGAGTCGTGGAAGAGGTTTAATCATGAAAATATAGTTTGATTATATTTCCATGATTAAACCTCCTCCTCGACTCCTTCCTGTAAACTCGAAACCACCAATACTAATAACAATAGCAGAACAGAATTAAAGAAACAATTGTAATGGAATCGAGCTTAGACGGAATTTTTGTTGGGTTTAAAGACAAACAGAATATTTGGAAAGGGTTGATAATGAAAAGAAATTAATATGATGTTGGTGTATATGAATAATATAGGGTTTGTCGATATAAGAAATTTTTGTTGGTTTTGAAGAGGTCGGTCAGCAACGTAAATTGATTTCAAAATTAACTAACAATGATTTTGTTGTTTATTTAATTAATTAAGGTTAATGTCCGTAATGTAAATTGTTACTTGTATTAATCTCTCCTTATGTTTTGTTGGACAAATTATCAATACAAGGCACCTCAAACGTTTCCTTAAAAAAAATCTTAAAATTCTATATCGTGTATATATATATATATATAATAACTATATAAGAAAATAATAAATATATAAGAAATTTTTTAAAATTAATAATTCAATTTATACATAAATATTAGAATTTTGTTAACAAAAAAATTTATTTTAAAAATCTATCTAAATCTATTCAAATTTTATTATAAATAAAACTATAAACTCAATATTTTATTTTAAAAAATTTATTTAAATACTCCCCGTCCCTTAATTAAATTCCTATTCGACTAGAAATAGGAATTCAATTAAGGGATGGAGGAATATACGTAACCTTTTTACACTTAACAAAAAAGTTTAACCCCAATCTCTGGTGACCGGGCTATATATTTAGTATTCAGATTCCAACACTTATATAATCTGTTGATAAGTATTAGGTGACTCGTACTTCGTAGCTTTGTCCGCCCGATCGGGCGGACATTGCCCGGTCTGACCGGGCGGTGGGGGTTGGATACGTTGAAGCATTCGTATGGAGTTTTCTTCTCGCGCCCGATCGGGCAGACCTTGCCCGGTCTGACCGGGCGGAGAAGGAAAAA